TGTTAAGAGTTTAATATAACATCTCTTCCTATGAATTATTTTCGTTTTATCTGCTCAGAAACAGTTTTCATAACAATAACAATAAACCTACATAATCAGGATTTATTTTAACAGAAGTTACTGGTCACTTGACTTTAAATATTTATTAATTTTTTCGTTTTAGAAATAAATTAGAGAATGGGAAAAATGATAAACGAATACAAAACAGTATTTCTGTTTACCTTACTTTTTCTTGCCCCATTCATAATTATTCTAAGTATGTTTACGAAGATTGAATATTTTGTAGATCGTTCATACATATTTTATTCGAATACAAATATCCTGTATATTTGTCTGTCTTTAAGACTCAGATATACTTCAGTGCCTACTGAACTATGACTAATGATATTTTTGTATCGCTCCAAAGTATGGCTAAGTGAGTTCTATATATCAGTAGTATGAACTTAATTGAAATGATTGCTACAGTTTCTTGTGGTGATTATTATTATTATCATTTGTGCTTTGGGTTCCTAGGGAAACATAATGAAAAACCGTTGCACGTCTCCATTTCACTCTCTTCTATACAGTCTTCTGAACCTCGCTCCATGACTGTCCACAAGCTTTCATTTCTTCCTCACACCATCTACTCCATGTCACACTCATCTCCGACACCCAACTCGTCGATTCCTCTCTAGGTTCCACTCGACGGCCTGACCTCACCTCACCTGACCTGACCTGACACGTGATGTCCCAAACTGTCTTCTCAGTCAGTGTATGCCCAATCCAATCCTTCCACACTCCCTTCTTCTGCATATTTGTTGGACGATAGGTTGTTGCTTCGTTGGTTCGTTTGTAGTCAGAGTGAGTTCCTCCTTGCTCATTCTTATAATTCTGGCCATCTGATCTCCATCTTCAGCATCGAGTGAGTGAGTGAGTGTAGGTGGCAGCTGTTGATGAATGTGTGTAGTGTGTTGGAAATGCTTTTTGTGACTCGCCAAGTTTCTCAACCATATAGAAGCTTGATTTGGCTGACACTTGTGTTCACGTTTTATGCTGAGTGCAGTAGATCTCGACACTGGTTTCAGGTTAATGAAGGCCAGTCTTGGTGTCTTTCCGATCCTGGCTGCCTTCGACGTCCTCATCTGTGCCGCCGTCGCTGCTGCCGCTGCCGCTGCCACTGCCGCCTGTAGTTGAAACGATGGTGCCCTGCCTAGGTAGGTGTAGGTGTAGGTGTAGACGAGAGACTACTTCATTTAGGTTTCTCCCATTCATGTTGATTCGTGCTTGTCGTTGCTGTTGGCGGTGGTGGTGGCGGTGGTGGTTGTGGTGGTCGGGTATCTTCATCACCTCTGTCTTCTCTACATTCACCTGAAGGAAATGCCGTTTTTGCTGCCCTACCCCTTCTGTCAACTTGTTGGTTTTTGCCTGTAGATCTTCGAGTTTGTGCGACATAAGACATTAGACATAAATCGTCATCGTTGGTGAAATCCGAATCTTCTTCTGGGGTCTTTTCATCAGTCGGGTCAGCGTATTCCCATCTTCTCCATCCTAGTAGTTTGTTATGTGATCCAGTCGAGTCCAGTTGACCACAATCAGGAAGATGATCGGTGATAGTAGGCGACAGCCTTGTCCTACTCCTCTACCCTGTATTCATTTTAAAGGCGTCACTGAGCTGAGCCTTGCATTGTCAATCACTCGGGATGTAGCATCATATAGCATAGCATATAGCTGCTGTTGAATGAGGTTGATAAAGGTTTGTGGCACTAGGACCGTAGTGTTGAAGCAGCAGCTGCCAAATTACTTCTCGGTCGACGCTGTCGAAGGTCTTTTCAAAGTCGATGAAGTTGAGGTATGGGTACAGTTGACTGTCATTCTATGCTCTGTTCTATGGTGATGCTTAGTGTTGTGTTGTGTTGCAGTTTGATCGGAACATGATTTGTACCTGATGAATGCAGCCTGTTCCGGTCATAATTTTGAATCCAGAGCATTGTTTAGTCTCTCCAGGATGATGCGGCATAATATTTTGCTTGGGGTGGACAGGAGCGGATCGTGATTCCACGTCAGTTCTTGAAAATAATTAGGTCACCATTCTTTAGAAGTTTGACCAGATAGCCCTTCTTTCACTCCGCAGGTAACTTTCCTTGCTTCCTTGTAAACCTTCTACAGCATTGGCGTGACTATGTTCGCTGTCGTCTCTCCGTCTGTGTTCAGAGCTTCTGGAGGAATTCCATGTGGTCCTGCTGCTTTCCTGGATTTCAGGAACTTTATGTCGTGGCGTTCAGGACTTCACTTTTGCTTTTATCGTAAGGCTTGTGTTCACTGGTAATTCTGTGGCTGGGCTTCTGGTGATATCTCTGGACGATTTTGTGCGAAATATACTACAGACCAATGAGTTTTAGACCACTCAAACCTATCAGTAGTGCTTGCTAGCCATATGAAGCTGATCTTTGTGTTAGGCAATCATTTCACTTGTTAGGGGTCGAGATCATTAGTAGTAAACTCAGAGTGACTGGGTTCAAGAGGGCAGAATTATCAAAGCTACCTAAATTGAGTTAACTAGTCATACCTGGATTCAAACCAGGTGTTGCGAAATGCAAATTCCCTGGTGGATAAGCCCTCCTCGATCATTTCCTTTGGAAATCAGAATATTGAAATCAGATTGTTTGGTCCACTCGACAACACATGTGGCGTCAAGATTGTGAGCATGAAAGCTGTGTAAAGTGTAAGGACTATATGTTTTGCAAGCATCTGAATTGATTCTGAAACGAATTTTTTTACATAATGGGTATTATGTGGCACAATTGAGGAGGTAAACTAAACCAGAAGTACCATGAAAAACACATATGTATTTATCCTTTTTGTTACCTGAAAAAGTATATATACTATTAGAAAAATACGTACATAAAAATATCCTCTGTAGTATGATATTTCTAATGATGTCTAAGATACTGTAAAGCAAACTAGTAAAAATAACACTGTTAAGACATCCAATGGTCCTTAACTGGATAGCCAGCGCCACTTGCAGAGCAAACTTAATCATTTAAATGAAACATTTCAGAGTATGATACGTGTGTAAGAAGTTCTAAGAACACTGTTTCTCAGAGTTCAGGTAGCAGAAAGATTTACAAAGAAGCAGAAATGTGCAGAAATAACTGAATAAATAGTGATTAAAATAAGCCATGCAGAGACTAATATTTAATGTTTTTTAAAGTCAAAATTACCATTTGAAACACTTTTCAAGGAAACTAAGTTTTGCTTGATGGATTCAGGCACTCAAAATAAGGTGAACTGTTTATACAGAGTACTCATCAGGAACTATTTGGAAAAAAGCAATTCATTTTCTGAAAAACAAAAGCAATCCATGAGAAGTATTTCTAATTGACGTTTCTATGATGTTTTTCATACGAAACACGGATTACAACCTTTTCGACATTTCTGATAATAGTTTATGTGTTTAGTATCCTGGAAGCTTCGAGGCTTGTTCCTGGACGCTTCAATTTCATATTTTGTAAAGTCGAATTTGATGACACAAACATGGCTATAGTATACGGAGCGTAAAACGTTTTATATGTCCACTTATCTCACAGATATAGAGAAATATCGTGCACCTGAGTTATTCTAAAACTATAAAAGAAAATGATTGGTGCATAAACTTTGCTAATATTTTGGAGAACGAAGTAAAAAAAACGCATATTCTAATTGAGTCTTCAAATAAGGATGAGTTCACAAGGGAGTAAACAATTTATTTTGGTAGGATCATAGTTACAAATGTATACTCTAGGTAATAAACGAAAATAAAATACATTTTGATACGGTAGTACATCAACTGAAGTTAACATACCTTGAGATAATAAAAAGAATCGAAGCAAAGTAAGATACCAAACAAAAATTTGGGAAAAGCAAGACAAAGCGAGAGACAAGAATGTGTAAAGTAAGCGAGTTTTTGATAATTTAAGAGTTTAAATAGGACGTGTATTTGAGTCACCGGTAACGATTTCACAATAAATTTAAAACTAGCTATCGCTGTCATTTCTTTCATAAAACCAGTGAAAACCTGACTGAAGAAAGAATATATATATATATATATATATATATATATATATATATATATATATATATATATATATATATATAGAGAGAGAGAGAGAGAGAGAGAGAGAGAGAGAGTTGTGGTTAAAAAAGTATCGTAAACTTTAGGTGACATTTTTGACTTTTACAATGGTATTCGTCTGTTTAACATTTAGAAAGAATATGGAACGCTTATAAGTATTGGGTGAGTGGACTCCAGTTTTTTATTCTGACAAAAGTCTACTTCCTTTGTTATATCTGTAATCAAGTAGTTTCTGCCGTATAAGTTTGCACTATGTAAACAAGGTAAATTTTTCAGAGCACACAAAAGCGTGACTATTTATATTGTTGCACAGAAAATTTCTTATGGCTAATAACAATAGTATGCTTAGTTCAAAATTGATTACAATTACCATGAATTATTGCTAGTAATGGTCAGGCAATCGAGATTTATTCGGTATCCTACATCACTAGTACTAAGAACTAGTTACCTTATTTAGTGAGACTATCTTAAGCATATCATATTGAGGTTAAAAACATGCTTTGTAAACAAAGTCTAACTAGTGATATCATTAGCATTGAAATCTCTTATTTGTATATTGATAAGGACATAATAGTTATATCTGGTGAAGCTTATAGTGTCAGTCTATGGTTCCTATAAAGATGTGAATGGCATCAGATTCGTCTGTCGCCTTAGGCAGTTAGGCAAGATAAACATACAATTTACGGATGTTTTTCGAAAACGCTTCACTCACTATTCATAACCCACGTTTTGGTACCTTGTAATAAAAACTATACTAAGTATATTTACCCCAATTAAGATGCAACTATACAAAGTAATCAAAATTTTGCGTGCATTTTATACTGTCACAGTATGACTTTCAATTGTTTACTTTAATATTTATCTTACATTTAGCACGTGTTTTACAGAAAACAAAAAATATGATACTCACCTTTGCTGGATTCAATCTTATTCCGTAAAGTTCAACTTTGCGTGCAGTATCCAATAGATTGTAGTCTGCTTCAGCTGGTGACTGACCTCTGAAGATAACATATGTGTACAATTGTTGTTTGTATTGTATGAGGCGTAAAGAAAAAAGTGGAAATTTTATATGAAGTAAGATTATTAGCGAATGAAGACTGCTCTTTTTCCATTGAATTATCAGCAATATAAGCATTGAAACAATTTATCAACGATGTTATACGATAAACTAAAATTCTGATGATAATTATCAATGCAGACTGACATCAGTTGGAGGAACAAAGGAAACCTCAGCGATACTCAGCGATGACATTGGGTGGCGGTTGCGCCATATATCGTGAGCTAACAGAAGTTGGAAATATGGAGCATTGGATTCTGACCCAGTGGCTCAATGGCAACGCGCTGGCCGCGGAACCTGAAGGTCGCGGGTTCGATCCCTGCTGGTAGGGTCGTGGGTGCGCACTGCTGAGGAGTCCCATACTAGGACGAAACAGCTGTCCAGTGCTCCCAGGTTTCCTTTGTTCCTCCAACTGATGTCAGTCTACAATGAATAACAACTTGAAATAATTCCAAATCTCCACAACTCCCTCAAAATTTAATTATCAATGCGTTGAAAATATGTTTCAACTACTACAGTCGTATATGTAACTAAGGCGGTAACACTTAGTTTTTGATATATAAAATGAGACTAAATAAGAGATTGCGTTAAACACTGATGTACAAATAAAGTTCACTTGAGTTGCACATTTTAAATCCTAATTAAATACAAGCTGCTAACTGATGAAATAATTAAATATTTTCAAATTATTTAATTTTGATAAGCTGTGAAAATTACGAAGTAATTTACAAAAGGTAGTTTTTTCCATACCAATAACTGGTTATCTCACTGATAAACATAACGTTTAAACAAAGCAGCGAACTTGAAAAATTGACGATGCACTTCGAATTTCAAAGTTGTTGACAAAATTATCAATGATATAATGACTGATCTTCTATCACCACTAGATTTGCGATGGCATTTTCAGAAACTTGATAATATTTTATGAAGTGAGTTAACTAGGCCTCAAAAATCGTAGGGACTTGTGATGGAGTCATCATGTGAGTAATCTACAGTTCAGAGGAAGCGTATTACGCTAGGAAGACAAGTCAGTCAGTCGATGAAGCTGTGAACCTTCAGTGACTAATGTGGCTTGAACAAGTGCTATAGATGCCAAGCTACTGTCTACCACAACGTTCAGTGCTAGTAGAAGTTGGGTAAGTTTGGAAGAGGAATCAAGATAGTTAGACGAAGATGTGGCACCAATCGACGGAGTCTCTGAACTTTATAGTGAGTTGTGCAGAAGGTATAGACCACTTGGCTGTGTTCCGTCAAACGATAAGAATCAGTGGTGGATATTTTTATGTACGTATTTTTCTAATAGTATATATACTTTTTCAGGTAACAAAAAGGATAAATACATATGTGTTTTTCATGGTACTTCTGGTTTAGTTTACCTCCTCAATTGTGCCACATAATACCCATTATGTAAAAAAATTCGTTTCAGAATCAATTCAGATGCTTGCAAAACATATAGTCCTTACACTTTACACAGCTTTCATGCTCACAATCTTGACGCCACATGTGTTGTCGAGTGGACCAAACAATCTGATTTCAATATTCTGATTTCCAAAGGAAATGATCGAGGAGGGCTTATCCACCAGGGAATTTGCATTTCGCAACACCTGGTTTGAATCCAGGTATGACTAGTTAACTCAATTTAGGTAGCTTTGATAATTCTGCCCTCTTGAACCCAGTCACTCTGAGTTTACTACTAATGATCTCGACCCCTAACAAGTGAAATGATTGCCTAACACAAAGATCAGCTTCATATGGCTAGCAAGCACTACTGATAGGTTTGAGTGGTCTAAAACTCATTGGTCTGTAGTATATTTCGCACAAAATCGTCCAGAGATATCACCAGAAGCCCAGCCACAGAATTACCAGTGAACACAAGCCTTACGATAAAAGCAAAAGTGAAGTCCTGAACGCCACGACATAAAGTTCCTGAAATCCAGGAAAGCAGCAGGACCACATGGAATTCCTCCAGAAGCTCTGAACACAGACGGAGAGACGACAGCGAACATAGTCACGCCAATGCTGTAGAAGGTTTACAAGGAAGCAAGGAAAGTTACCTGCGGAGTGAAAGAAGGGCTATCTGGTCAAACTTCTAAAGAATGGTGACCTAATTATTTTCAAGAACTGACGTGGAATCACGATCCGCTCCTGTCCACCCCAAGCAAAATATTATGCCGCATCATCCTGGAGAGACTAAACAATGCTCTGGATTCAAAATTATGACCGGAACAGGCTGCATTCATCAGGTACAAATCATGTTCCGATCAAACTGCAACACAACACAACACTAAGCATCACCATAGAACAGAGCATAGAATGACAGTCAACTGTACCCATACCTCAACTTCATCGACTTTGAAAAGACCTTCGACAGCGTCGACCGAGAAGTAATTTGGCAGCTGCTGCTTCAACACTACGGTCCTAGTGCCACAAACCTTTATCAACCTCATTCAACAGCAGCTATATGCTATGCTATATGATGCTACATCCCGAGTGATTGACAATGCAAGGCTCAGCTCAGTGACGCCTTTAAAATGAATACAGGGTAGAGGAGTAGGACAAGGCTGTCGCCTACTATCACCGATCATCTTCCTGATTGTGGTCAACTGGACTCGACTGGATCACATAACAAACTACTAGGATGGAGAAGATGGGAATACGCTGACCCGACTGATGAAAAGACCCCAGAAGAAGATTCGGATTTCACCAACGATGACGATTTATGTCTAATGTCTTATGTCGCACAAACTCGAAGATCTACAGGCAAAAACCAACAAGTTGACAGAAGGGGTAGGGCAGCAAAAACGGCATTTCCTTCAGGTGAATGTAGAGAAGACAGAGGTGATGAAGATACCCGACCACCACAACCACCACCGCCACCACCACCGCCAACAGCAACGACAAGCACGAATCAACATGAATGGGAGAAACCTAAATGAAGTAGTCTCTCGTCTACACCTACACCTACACCTACCTAGGCAGGGCACCATCGTTTCAACTACAGGCGGCAGTGGCAGCGGCAGCGGCAGCAGCGACGGCGGCACAGATGAGGACGTCGAAGGCAGCCAGGATCGGAAAGACACCAAGACTGGCCTTCATTAACCTGAAACCAGTGTCGAGATCTACTGCACTCAGCATAAAACGTGAACACAAGTGTCAGCCAAATCAAGCTTCTATATGGTTGAGAAACTTGGCGAGTCACAAAAAGCATTTCCAACACACTACACACATTCATCAACAGCTGCCACCTACACTCACTCACTCACTCGATGCTGAAGATGGAGATCAGATGGCCAGAATTATAAGAATGAGCAAGGAGGAACTCACTCTGACTGCAAACGAACCAACGAAGCAACAACCTATCGTCCAACAAATATGCAGAAGAAGGGAGTGTGGAAGGATTGGATTGGGCATACACTGACTGAGAAGACAGTTTGAGGACATCATGTGTTAGGCCAGGCCAGGCCAGGTGAGGTGAGGTCAGGCCGTCAAGTGGAACCTAGAGAGGAATCGACGAGTTGGGTGTCGGAGATGAGTGTGACATGGAGTAGATGGTGTGAGGAAGAAATGAAAGCTTGTGGACAGTCATGGAGCGAGGTTCAGAAGACTGTATAGAAGAGAGTGAAATGGAGACGTGCAACTGAAGCCCTATGTTCCACTAGGAACTCAAGGGAGAAATTATAATAATTGGATTTTGTTAAAATATTTCCTGAGAATCCTTTTGGATACGAGCATTGAAAATTTTTCTCTTATAAGCTGAGAAATTTATTGCTTCACGATTTATAAAACGGAGGTTCAAAGTTAATATGTATGTTTCACTAAATTATAACCAAAATAAACTAATGAATAAGACATATATCATTATTTCTTGGTTAAAATTTTTCGTTCAATATATTTTGAATACTTTTATCTTCAAAAGATTGGAAAAAGAACGCACAATTATAGGTATAATAATATTGTAGGAATTCCATTTTCGATCCTACCATACCACAAGCTAATAAGTTAATAAATTGTATACTGGGAAATGTTTCTCATGAACTTTATGGAAAGTAATTCAAGGACAAATATCTAACATGAAACATAAGCGTCAGTTAGAACTAATTCCTTTGAAATAAGACTCGTTAAAATAATTTATATTGGAGAAAGTACACTTTATAATATGCCTATGCAATCTGTTTTATTGATCAACCAAATATATAGGATATTGTCAATATCCTTTATAGATTAATGGTAAGAGCATTAGTTGCAGTTTATGACCGAGTGACCTACTAACATTTATTTATTCTCGAAATAATTCTTGTTCAATACATTATTTATTATTAACCAAGGAAATTATAACACAATAAAAAGAATAATTTATTTGTACATGGCTAGATTCCTGTGATTTATACGTTATGAACTTGTCTAAGTAATTTAATCTGTCAATAATTTTCTACTGGTTTAGTTAATACCTAAAAATCAAATAAGAGTACTATCAGTTATACCTGACTGCTGATTAAAGAAAACAGGATGACAAGTTCATTTTTGAAAAAGTGTAAACTTCATACATTTTCTGCATTAGATTTTTATTCAGGCTCAAATGAAAAGTATCTATTATCGGTTCAAGAGATTGATATTTAGAGAAACTTATGGCATTTTATATTTATGCTTAACGAAATTTTACTTTTACGGTATAACATAACTATTTCACCTAACATCTGTCAGAAACAAATCAATATCTACACAGTATCCCAAAATTTATAGATACCAACTTCATCGAGAAGTCTGGGAAATATACTAACAAGGATGATGCAGATTTATAGTAAGCTATATTAGAAACTACAGGATTCTCATTTTAGTAATCATACATGGCTTGGCACTCCGCTACTTTTTGTGTTTATAGAAGTTAACTAATGCCAAGTGTATAAACTTTATATTCTGCAAGTATTTCGGATTACTTAACAT